AATTATATAAAAAGGTTGTTGGAAAAATATATAAATAGTACGGTTGACTTTAAAAAATATACCTTTGACTTACCCCATTAAGTAATACATACTACTTTAGGCAATAATTTAATTAATTACCGTAAATTTAAGGAAAATCCGTAAATTATGAAATTCTACCTACAATAAAGCCTTGAAATCCGATATTTTAAAGCCTTGGAATCCGATATTTTGTTACACATTTTATTAGGAATTTGTGTGATTTGTTACTTTGATTTCGAAAATTTGTTAGCGGATTCTAGGGGACTTTGTTTGGAAAATTTAATTAATTACCGTAAATTTAAGGAAAATCCGTAAATTAAATAATTAAACCTACAATAAAGCCTTGAAATTCGATATTTTATAGCCTTGAAATCCGATATTTTGTTACATATTTTATTAGGAATTTGTGTGATTTGTTACTTTGATTTCGAAAATTTGGTAGCGGATTCTAGGGGACTTTGTTTGGAATGATTTTTAATTTGCGCAACAAATGACACCATAAATCCCGTTTTTTGATTTTTTATTTTGTTAACACAAATCGGATATCCGATTGTATTGCCTAACTTATCTCATTTAATTGTTCTATTTCACATGTCTTTACCAATTTACTTAATTAATTCCTTTTAACTTATCTCATTTAATTGTTCTATTTCACATGTCTTTTCCAATTTACTTAATTAATTCCTTTTTTTTTAGGAAAAATATCGAAAATTTCATAACAATTTTCTACAAAATCGTTAACACGGTTAAACAATTGTCCGATATGATTTTTTGCCATCTTTTTTGCATCAAAATCTTATTTTAATTTGCCAACTAATCATTATTATATGAAAGATAACCGATTTGAATTGAAGAGATATTCCTAATAACATAAATCAAATATTATCCCTTAATAAGGGATATTATTCTTAATAACAATCTGATTTTCCTTAAAAATCGGATTTTTTGCCATCTTTTTTGCATCAAAATCTTATTTTAATTTGCCAACTAATCATTATTATATGAAAGATTATATGAAAGATGGCCGATTTGAATTGAAGAGATGTTCCTAATAACATAAATCGGATATTGACACTTAATAAGGGATATTATTCTTAATACCAATCGGATTTTCCTTAAAAATCGTTCTGTCAATATGAACTACTATTATTCCTAATAAAAATCGGATTGTTATTAAGAATCGTTCAGTCAATATAAACTACTATATAAATACAGTCTTTACCAACATATTCTACATCATACACATACACAAACCGCAATAAAACCTTTCTTTTTCGAATCTTTTTAACATCATCTCAACATGCCTTTGAATTTCGGAGTCATCAAGGATATCCACCGATCCAATAAGCCACCAATCAAGCTACGCATAATTCGGATGTTCCAACGAGTTGAAGATGTTCGCAATTACCGAAATGTTTTAGAGATTATCTTTCATGATTCGGAGGTAACATGTTCACACATTCATAGTGTATTTAAATCTAAATTTTAACTTATTTTTTTATGTTTATGAACTGATTCAATAATACAATAATCCAATATGCATTGTTTTAGGGATTGCGAATTACTGGAATAATTCGACCTGTGAATATCCAAAAATTCATCGGCGATATTGAAGAAGGGGGTAAGTATGTCTTGACAAACTATCAAGTTGAAAGCAATATTGGCATCTACAAATCGACTATAGGAAAATGGAGGATCATTATCCATGGCCAAACCAAGATTGTCAATTGGAAGGGGGATTTTCCTATGCATCGTTTCGAGTTTAGAAACTTTCTAACTTTGATGGATGTTCGTAAGATTGAAGAAGCCATGTTGTTTGGTACGTTAGATTTTTTTGTTTATGTTCTAATTTGAAATTTTTTTAATTTAGATAAAATTCTGCAATATACTATATTCCTTTATATTTTGTATTTTTAATATAATGCATTTTTAATACCTATGTAGATATCATTGGATTGGTTGTTTCAATACAACCGATCCAAATGAAGGATGTCAAGGGTGTTCCTACGCAAATGATAGTATTCTCTATCATGGACTTGGAGTAAGCATCTATATCCTTATTTTTTATTATTTTTTTAATCAATCGTTTATTATAGATTTTATTTAATTAATTTATTTTAAAAAAAAATCGTTAGGACTTTTTTATGTATTTTACCTGTTTTTTTTAATTCTTATTTTATTTTTATAATTTTTTAGAATATATATCAATGTCCGGTTTCGATTTTATTTTTATAGTAGTTTGTGTCCACAATGTATAGGGGGAACGTAAAGGAATGCACTGTTTGGGGGCGTTATGTTGATCAATTGGTTGCTTTGGAGCATCATTATGAAAATGAAGGGTCACCTTTTGTCATCATTTTACAAATGTGTCGTGCAAAAGAGTGGAGAGGTGATATTCGATTGTAATTAGTAATATTCAATATATTTGTTCAAGCATTTGTTTTATACTAATTTTCTAATAATTTTCTAATAATTTTTTAATGTGTAATTTATTATTTATATTTTTCTATTGGTTATTCAACTATTTCATGCAATAGGTGATGTTCAAATAACCACTTCAAAGGAGGCTACTTTGATAATTGGTGTAGACGTTCCCGAAATTGTAGATTTTCGGAGGAGGTATGTGTTATTTGTTATCAAGTAAATACACTTTTTTTTTCAAAAAAAAAAAATAGAACTAATCGCAATTTATTTAACCTTTTATTTTTATTTTTTTTATTGTGTTCCAAGGCTAGCAACAAGTAAAATTAAAGACACCAAGTTGGTTTCAAGTAGCTCAATCATTGTGAAGACCGAACTTCAAGGACTTGATGACGGTGACATTGTTGTTAGTTCTGTTGATTCTCTATTTGAGTGTGTCGAGGTAATATTAGTGATTATATTACACAATGATTGAGCTATTATTTTGGTAATTATGTATTTATATTACCTTGGTATGTATATTTATTTTGTAGCCAATGGACACTTGGATTTGCGCGACTATTGATTCTATTATAGACGATTGGTGGTACCTTTCATGTGTGCGATGCAGCTGCTCGATGGAGAATGACAAAGGAATCTATACATGCCGGAAGTGCTCCCACACTCGCGGCACATTCCGGTTTGTGAATATTCCTATTTTATTGTGTATATTCTGATATTATTGTGAATAATTCGACTATTATTGTGAATATAATTTGTAAATTTAATCCTTTATTTGTGTACAATTTTAGGTACAGAATACAATTTGGTGTTTCCGATGCTTCTTCAAGTGCAACCTTGATTTGTTGGGATAAAGATTGTCAAAATATTGTTGGGAAAAGCTGTGATATATTGAAGCGAGAATATGACCAAAAGGTATGATCGATTATTATTTCCCATGTATAATTATTAATGATTGTTTCAAATGTCAAATATAATATACTATTTAATCTTTTCGTAGAGGAAAGACATCTTTGAACTTCCCGACGAACTTGATGAGTTAACGGGGAAGACATATCTCTTCAAGGTTCGCATTAAGCCAGATGATCCTTTCAGCCAAAGCTCTACATTTTCTGTGATTAAAGTGGTTGTTGATGAGCACTTGGTTTCCAAGTATAGTCAATGGGTCGTGCAGTATGATGTAAGTCCTTTTTATATACGAATATTGCAAATATCAAAATATTTTTGCCTTTTATTATTGTATAAATTAACGTATTTATTGTTTCTATTTCCCATAGGAATCGGATTTCTTAACTCTCTTGCAAAGAGAGGAAACTGCGAGTGGATTGGTAAATTCTATCACAATGCTTTTCATGATAATGAATGACGAAATTATGGAATATTGAACTGTAGTATATTTGAATGATGTAAAAAATAAATTAAGTTATATTAATTTTAATTATTGTAGGATCCTGCTTTAGAAGATGAGGCATCCACCCCATTGAAGAAAATGCAAGATAAGAATGTTGCTGGGGACAATGCAATTGCAAAACGGAACCTTTCTGATCAATTTGCTGCCGAGTCCGTTACAAGCAATAAAGGGAAAGCCAAGGTTGATAATGATGGAAATTTGCTCGAAGATAAGAACGAATGATGTGATGAGAGTGAAACATAAGTTTAATTTACTATTTTTTGCGTATTAGAGATATTTAGTTGGATTTGATTTGATGAAGACTTTATAATTGTTGGGATATATTTTATAGGTCGCATAAGTTTAATGTTTTAGAATCGTTGAATATTTGTTTCGCAGTCTCTAGGTAACATATAGTTGCCGAGGCTTTTGCGTAATTATAAATAAGATTTATCACAGTTTATATTGATTCGAATTTTTTTTTTTAATAAGTTCAGTTTTAGTATTCTTAAATTTTAAATATTATTGTTAAATTAAATTGTTCGATTCTGTTAATTTATATTAACAATTAACAATTGTAAAAAGCATAATCCTATATAAATTTGAATCAAAATATGCTAAACTGGAATCCATGATAATCCTCAAATTCGGTTTTGCATAATGCATAGGATCCCCAACTCCAATATATAAAATACAATTTAGGTTTTGTATGGATAATAAAAACTGTACAACTTTAATGTCAGTTTTTTGATTTATTAAAATCAAAAAACATGAAGCCAAATCATAGTTGAAATTGAATACAACTCAACAACCATATACCAATCCTAATCCTACATTATATTTTTTAATGTTGTAATGAAGCCATGTTGTCCAATAATATATACGATATTAAGGATAGCAGTGTTGAACATTTAAAACAATCTTTTTTTCTTTTATAACAATAGTTATTGTAATGAAGTTCACAATAAAGTTTATCAATATTATTCCTCTTAGAAGTTTTTTCCATTTCGATTTAACTTTTATACGTATGCGAATATTATATTCATTCATATAAACAAACTACAAAAAATCGTATTTATTGTTTTGGCTATATATCTATTAAAAGTACGAATAAAAAACGATAAGGATTGTAATGGAAAGTATTTTGGTATATGTCGGATTTATTGTTTTTGATATATATCTATATCTATTAAAAATACGAATAAAAAACAATAAGGATTGTAATGGAAAGCATTTTAATATATATCGGGAATCTATTAAAAATACGAATCAAAACTAACGACTTAAAAATACGAATAAAATATTATTTTTTATATATCTATCCATTAATATATATCTAAGCATTTGAACAAGATATCCGATGGATACTAACGACTTAATTGTAATGGAATCAAACTAAAATCTACTCAGCATATAGGATTGATTTATAGAATCCAAACTATATAAAAATACTAATGGTTGTTACTGATATTTATCCCTTAAATATCTAACTAATTGATAAGCATTTACATTTGTACATTGTACCCTACGGATCAATACTAAAGTGTTTCTTGGGAGGGAATCAACAATAAGATCTAATCCACATTTTGACAAAATCTTTGATTGCTAATCTTATATTAGTTTAATTTATATCGATTCACCATTAGTCTATACAAGACAAATCGAAATGTTTTAATTATTAATAGAATCCTAACTTTACAAAAGACTGGGTTGTTATAGGTAATTATCTATAAACTAAATAAGTATTTTTTTTTTTGGAATATAATCAAAACAAAAATCTTTTAACATTGAAATCGCGACCCTATCATTAGCAATAAAATATACTTTCATTAAATATTCGATATATATTTATATTATTATATCAATATATAATATATAATTGCATCTATAGCAATATGAATCTATTATATTTTCGGATATGTACAGATATTTGCGTCTGCATTACAATGTAGGATATATTATTTAAAATAGCATTAATTAAAATTCATACTTATCGTAATTCATATATATCTATATATACATAAATCGGCCATATTTTCTACCATGCAGTTCTCAGACATCGAAACAAAAAAAAAAAAAAACACGCACAACACAAAAATATGGACCAGCCTTTTGGTTTCGTCAGACAGATTAAGAGAACTCAAAGATTCATGCTAAAACTTCGAGCTATACGTGTATTCGAAAAAAAGTCATTTCATGCTACTCATCCTGCACAGGTCGAAATTGTGTTTCACGACGAAGAGGTTGTTTAATTGTTTATTATTTATTTTTTATTTATTAAATAATTTATTTTATTTTATGTAGTAACTTATTTTATTTTTTTTGATAGGGGGTTCGCATAACGGGATTAATTCGTGGAGTTAATGTCTCGAAAATAGCTGGCTATTTCCATGAATGTGGGGTATATAGACTCCGGAACTACCAGTTGGAGAGCAACATCGATAAATACCGATCTACAAAATCAAAATACAAATTAATTATTGATGGCAATACAGAGGTTTTTGGAACGCTCGAAGATTTTCCTATGCGGCACTTCGAATTTCGTAGTTTTGCAACTTTTCAAGATGTTGAGAATGTTGATGAATCATATCTTTTTGGTATAATTTAATTTATTATGAATTTGTATTTCATAATTTTACATATATTATTTTATTAAAATCCCTTTGTTTTTATTAAAATGTAGATGTTATTGGAATGGTGAGTGAGGTTTACCCCGTGCAATCAAAATTTGTTCAGGGAGAAAAAAGTCAAATGGTAGTCTTTTCCCTTATAAATTTGGAGTAAGTATCATTTATTAAATGTCAATTTTTATTATGTATTGTTGTTAATAATATATTATATTATTAATCAATATATTTCTTTTACAGTGGAATTGTTGTGCATTGCACACTGTGGGGCCATTATGTCGACCAACTTATTGCTTTTGAAACACATTTTGACTCTGGGACAACCGGGCAACCATGGGTTCTAATAATGCAACTCTGTAGGGCAAGGTTTTGGCAAGGTACTTAGATATTTATCTTCATCAATTTTAATTTTTTTTTACAAAAATAATAAATATAAGGTTTATGTATGATTTTATTTGTAAAGTTAATATTAATTTATATGTATTTGTATATAATAGGTGAGGTTCAATTGGCTGCCCATTTGAATGTCACCCGTCTAATTGCTTTTGAGGCAATCCCGGAAATAATTGATTTTCGGCGAAGGTAACTATTATATATATAT